AAATAAAGATGATGATGATAAGCAAGTTGGAGGTTTTCAAATTGGTTTAATGAGTTAATCATCATGGAAACATTACTCTTTGATGGCTCTCTCATAAGCTTTACGATCAACACGTTTTAGATAACGAGTTACTTCATCTATCGAAGCAAATAAAGAATAGATATCTAAACCGTAGAATCCGACCTAACAAAGGCAATAAAACAATGAGCAAAATTAATAACCATGAAATGAAAATATGAATTCCATGAACTTCATACTTTTCTGAAATGGGATTGCGAGGGGGTTCCATTTTCCTTTGCCTCTCTCTCTAATTTCTCATTATATTGCCTCAACCATTTGACGAATCCTTCCACTTGTTTATTACGCCACATCCAAGTTGGAAATCGTTTAAAATCACTCAACGCTTCATTGGCATCTTTCGCAGTGTTTTTTTTGAAATTTTGTACGTAACAATTAACTTTGTAGGCGTCTGGCCAATCGGCTTCGACTGCCACTAAACTACGAATTTATCGGCTACTTTCAGCTAATGAATCCGAACAAAAAACGACCATGATTGCTTCTTACTCAAATTTCTTCTCTTCAATAAGTCGTTGAGTAATCAATATTCGTTCCTGATAGAATTCCTCGGTCCCGTGAGAAGCCTCGCCAATCAAAACACAACGTGCCGAACCTATTTTAAAGGAAGTTCGGTATACCAATCAAATAGCCAATACACCTGTTTGATAAATTATACCTATGCTTTCCAACAACGCGTCATAATTGTTCTTTGGACCGCCTAGGAAGATCGGAACGATATGTTCTCTAATGAGATCAAGGTTCCTAGGAGTACGCGCGGCTTGCACTTTCTGCGCAATTTTCATGATGAGGTGAAGATAAAGAGAATCGAAATAATTAGATCTATAATTGAATAAGGAAGAGATCATATTTATACATGTATGTAATTTGAGATAATTATATCATAATGATATCATACCCAAGATGATAAAATTACGTGTTGAAGCTTGGAATTTATACGTTCCTCTGTGAAAACTGTTTTGCAATAACGACATATTTACGGGCAACGAGAAGGAGGAACGTGATCGCAATGATCCTTACGAGACATTATGCCCTCGATCAAACCTCTTGAAGCGCCATCGCGAAGCATACATACATAAATTCTAGCTATGATGAATAGGAACATTGACAGCACGTGATTCAAGTTCCCATAGCAGGTTTGCCTAGTCAATTCTTTCTTAGCCCGATCTAGAACAATCTATTGTACCAAGTTTGAACGGGAAACTGTCATGATACATTGTGATTATGAAAAAGTTAAGACTGAAACTTTTAATTTAAAAAAAGCAATCAACAATAAATTTTGGAATTACCAAAAGTTCCAATTACAATTCTCATCTTGATTTGGACATTTTTAACGTCGAGTACCCGAATTTTAATTACCTCGTTACAATATACCTTTTTTTTCTACTTCCGATCTTTTTTCCGACTACGCTTAATGTTGCAATTCTCGAATACCATATGCCGATGCGTAATGACATAATGACAACCGTGCTTGCAATCTCGCAGTAAGTATCCATATTACAGTATGTATATTGGTGACACATTCTCACGATACAATCGCTTCTCATTTTCCGAATGTTTGGTCACAAGTTTTGTTGTGCACATTAACTCAATAATGAATAAGGTAACCCTTCCAACGATCGACCTCACATTTTTATCTTATAAATGTTGAAATTTTGAATCCGTTCCAATAAACCTTAATGGGAAAGCTTCTTTTTTAGTCGCGGCATACGTTTTCAGACTTCAGACCACTGCGCTGCCATGATGAGCTCCTTTGCGAATAAAAAAGATTGGTTCAAGTTCGCTATCGAAAATGGCTTCATCAAGTCATTCGAATACAATTCCTTTGAGAATGTTAGGTTTCTTGCGAGTGGTGGTTACGGAGCCGTCTTTAGCGCGCACTTAAAGAAAAACAAGAGAAAGATGGTCGCCTTGAAGAGTCTGCACAAAAACAATGATTTTCATAAGGATTTCGTGCGAGAGGTATCTACCTTTTTTTAAAGTAAAATCTCTTATCGGGTTCGTCCACGTAAACTAACATGCCGTGAAAATGCGTCAAAAGCTTCGAAATATAAGCAAGGTTGACTATCATGACAACATCATCAAATTTATGGGTATCAGTCAAGGTACGTGTACACGGTGACATCTTAAACCATGATGATATATTGACGCGAAATGCACTTCAATTAGATTCTGAAACGAAGAGTTTTTTCTTGGTTCTTCAGTACGCGAATGGGGGAACTCTTCGGTCATATTTGCAAAAAAATTTTGATAAACTGAATTGGCCCAGAAAATTAAAGATGGCCGTGGATATTGCCAACGGATTGAATTGTATTCACGGCGAGGGTATCGTACATCGCGATTTGGTGAGTATCCTTCTTTTAATGATATTCGACCTTTTTCGTACTTACAGTATTCTACGTATGAAATCTAATGATTCACGCCCATCTTAGCATTCTAAAAATGTACTAGTTCATAATGACACATTGATGATCACCGACTTTGGTTTATCAAAATCCCTGGAGACTACCACTCCGGATTCTTCTGGCGGTGGAATAATTCCTTATAACGATCCTAAATGTGCTGAAAACATAACCGGCTATACAAAGAACAAAGCCTCGGATATTTATAGTCTGGGCGTTTTATTCTGGGAAATATCGAGTGGCATACCTCCATTCAACAAAAAGAATCAATTTACAATAGTCACGGAAGTCATGAAGGGAGAACGTGAACGACCAATTTTAGGTACTCCCTTAGATTATATGAAAATCTATTGCGATGCGTGGCATCAGGATCCCGATAAACGCCCGACGATTGAAGAAATATGTGTGAGCCTTGAGAATGTTAATCTAGACATAGTCTATAATTTCTCGTGCATGGAACAAGATATAATCGAACCTATGCGCGATATGCCAAATGAAGCCGACTCTATCTCAATTCCCACCGAATCCATAACATCCAGTAAGAAATTTTCTTTATTAATTTTCATTATCGAGCAAGTGGTAATGATCATTTTCTGTTCATGATGTATCGATCCATTAGATTTAAGTTTTCAGGGGACACAAATATTGACAGATCCTTATAAGTTCGCTAAAGAAAAAATTTTTGTCACGGTTAGTCATCCGATCCTTTTTTCGCCTTTTCTCGCGCATTCATATCAAGAAGGTGACCCATGCGAAAACCTATTCAATAGAATGTTAAACCAACGAGAACATGCACGAAGATGCTCAAGCTGGCCCGAGAAAGTCTGGATAATGATTTCGATGAAAGTAATGATAAGCCTCATTGTGTTGCATGGGTGCACGTCTCTCTCGGTGACGTAGAAGGATTAAAATGGCACCTCGATTATGATGACCACCGGGATATCAAAATCCTTCCCGAGTTCACAATTAAATTCTGCTGCTGGGATAAAATTATTCTCGTTTTTGAAACATTAAAATTGTACGGGGCAAATTTTGGAGGCATCCACTTATCACTAGGGTCCTTGGTGAAGAACAACTCGGTCCATTTTCCGAGAGAACTGCTTCAATTCAAAGAGCTCTTGATTTGGTTGTTAGATAATAATTGCGACATTAATGAACTGAAGGATAGTCGTGGTTTCTATTCTTTATACGATCTACTTGATGCCTTGGGATTGCATAAACATCGGGAAGTTATCGATCTGTACTTGGAATTTCATTTCAATCCAAATAATTCATACAACACCCACCTACCAAATTTGTTATTTTATTCTGTATCCAAGAAGTTCCCTCTTTCCACCCTCAAACTGATTCTCAACTATGGTATCGATTTGTCGACGAAAAATAGCGAAGGATTAAATGTCCTCGATTATGCGGCGAATGAGAAGAGCATCGAAACGTTGGAATACCTTCTCAGAAGATATTCAAAGACACTGAGTTCACAATTCAAATTTTCCGAACATCATCCCAACCTCCTGTTCCTTGCTATAAAAAAAGACTTTCCAATTTCCACTCTCGGGCTAATTCTTGATTCTGGTGTTGATCTGCTAACAAAGAACGTTGAAGGTTTGAATGTCCTTGATTATGCGGCTGAGGAGAAGAATCTCGAGGCCTTGGAATATCTTCTCAGCAACTGTTCGACAAAATTAAATTCCGATCACCGTTTTTCCAAAAACTGCCCCAATTTACTATTTCTCGCGATAAAAGAAAATTATCCCATTTCCACACTCAGACTGATTCTCAATTCTCGCGTCAAGTTATCGATCAAGAATCATGACGGACTAAATGCCATCAATTACGCGGCTGTGTGTAAAAACATCGAGGCTTTGGAGTATCTTCTTAGCAACTATTCCGAGGAATCGACTTTTCAACACAGATTCTCCCAAAATTGCCCAAACTTATTGTTCCTCGCCATAGAAAACTTTTTCCCTGTTCACATTCTGGAACTTATCCTCAATTCTGACATTGATCTCTCGACTAAAAACGATATGGGATTGGATGCTCTCGACTACGCAGACATCAAAAAGGATGTCGAAGCTTTAGAGCATCTTCTTGGAAATTACACAAAGGAACTAAATTTACACAAGAGATTTTCTCCGTCCTGTCCAAATTTGCTATTTTACTCGATATCAAGAAGGTTTCCCACTTCGACCCTTGAAGTTATCCTCACCAGTCACGACATTGATTTATCAACAAGGAATGCCAGTGGGTTGAATGTTTTAAATTATTCGGTCTACGAAAGGAATATAGAGGCATTGGAACATCTCCTCAAGTTTCACTCGAAAGGGTTCGGTTTTCGGCACAGGTTCTCCAGAAACGATCCGAATTTGTTGTTTTTTGCTATATTCAGGAAATTTCCCATTCCCACTCTCAAACTCATTCTCGAGTCTGGCGTTGATCTGTCGGCGAAAAATGACGAAGGATTGAACGCTCTTGAGTATGCAGCCGATAATAAAAATATAGAGGCTCTGGAGTTTCTTCTTGGTTTTTTCAAGCGGCTGGATTCCAATTCCAAACCTTTTCCACCTTGTCCAAGCTTACTGTTTTTTGCTATACGAAATGAATTTCCGGTTTCGACTCTCAAACTGATTCTTGGTTCGGGGGTTGATTTATTAACAAAAAATGATGAAGGGCAAAATATTCTCGATTACTCGGCACTTTGGAAAAATATCAAGGCTTTGGAATACCTCCTCAAAAACCATGCGACAGAATTAAATTCCCATTTTATGTTTTCCGAGGAGTGTCCAAATTTAATTTTTCTTGCTATAAAGAAATTCCCGGTTTCCACCCTCAGCCTGGCCCTCGATCTGGATATTGATTTATCAATTAAGAATAGAGACAACCTAAATGCTTTCGACTATGTGCTCAATATTGGCATAATGGAGAAAATAGAATGTTTCATCGAAAATCAAAATGCACTAAACTTTCGATTTTCCCCTGATTGCCCTAATTTATTGTTTTACACCTTATATAAGAAGTATCCAATTTCCATTGTCAAGCTTATACGCAAACACGGTGTTGATTATAAAACCAAAAACAATGATGAACTGAACGCTCTTGGATATGCTGTTAAGCTGAAGAATATGGTGGCGGTCAGATACCTGTTGGAGAATATTCTCGAGTTTAGCGAACAACAAAGTATCGCAGAGGCGATCGGTCAAACGAAATTTTTTAGCAGAGAGTGGTATTACCTTCAAGATTGGAAAGGTGCTTCCGGAGAGATTAAAAGGCTTCAAATGCAACTTCGATTTACATCACGTCCAGAGACAATACCACGGATTCCTTCGACATGATAATTTGCCTCGTTGGCGAAATGACGGACCTGTTTTTCATCTTGTATATAGTAGTATCACAAACATTTTTTATGTAACATAGCTAATTTAATGATTCCAAAGAACGGTAAAAGTTCTTAACGAATCGATAGAAAAGTAGTAGCATATTTGATGCACATATTATATAATATTTGCGCTACACGCACGGTCTAATATTTTTCATTGTAATATAATTTGGAGTAGAAATAGGAGAGACGGCTAACTTGGACAATAGCGTGGAAACACCCATTCTACTTGGCGGTTGTTCTTTTTGGTATTTACTGTATTTAATAATTTATTCGTGTAAAATTCTTTGTAATTTATTTCTTTCTAAATAATGATTAAATGTCCTCGCACGGTTGCATTTTTTTTTTCTTACTGATTTTTGATATTGAATAGTATGTATTAATGATGATTTAATTCTGAGAAAGCTGAAATATTATTTGCTTTAAAAGAGAACATAAAAATATCCATTTAATTATTTTATAAAAAGTATTTCATCTGATTGCTAAAATTTTATTTTTTTTTTTTTTTATAACGCTGGCTCAACCTTGTTTTATTTGTATTTATGCAGTATTATTACATAGAAATTTTC